TTATGGAAATTGAACATTTATCAATTGCTAATGTCTTAGTTATTGCTCATACTGTGTTTAGCATATCTTTACTGTGTGTTGGCTCACCCTATATGGGACATTATTTTCAGGTACAGGTAGCATGCCACCTCCAAGGACATAGCTTCGATGATGATGAGAGTTGAAGACTCTTTTTGTTTATTTTGTTTGTATTACATGTATATCAAGCCGAGGGCTTATTTTGTATAGAGTTAGTACTCTTTTTTTGTGTAACCAAGTGTTGACTTGGAAAGCTGTAAGCCCGTAGGACATTTGCTTTTGTTGTTAACATGTAATACGGTTGAAAGAACTACTCTGATGAATAGAAATGGTTGACTTCTTTGTATCAATACATGTCTAAGGTGATGGATTTTATGTATTATTTTGAGGGCGTTACACAAACCCCAACCGGCACAACAATGAGTGAGGAGGAGAAGATGGACAAAGAAAATACATACAGACAGAGCTCTGAGCCAGAAGAAAAGAACAAACCAAGAGAAGTCACGACGGAGAGAGAAGACGGCTGAAAGGAGACGGAAGAGACGAACGCAAACACTTCCACCCTTCAACCAGGTTTGTAGATTCAAACTAGGGTTTTGATTTGGGGATTTCACTAAAAAATCAAGGTTTTGATTGAGCAACTCCAAAATTATGTAAAATTAGTGAACCTTAAGGAACTCTAGGTTCTTGAATTAATTCTGAAAGCATGTGATTTTATTGTTTTAGATTGTGAATTTTTCTCTTTTTTTATGAACTTCTTGAGTCTTAGTTGGGAAAAATACCTTCTATGTCAATTGCTTATTATGAAATTGGGTTCTTTAAATGGGTTGAACACAATTTTTTTTTTTAATTTGTTATTCTAAAACAATTGATGATCTGTTACAAAAATTAGGATCCTTTAACTTAGTTGTGATTGTATATAAAAAAAAAATTTTAAAAAAATTCTTGAATCTAAAATTAGAGAACCCTAAGGGAATTCCAGGTTCTTGAACTAATTTTGAAAGCATGTGATTGTATAAAAATTAGTTTCTTGAATTAATTTTTTTTTTTATGTTCATTTTAATTTGCAGCGAGTTGAAAAATCAGCTTAAGTGGTTAATGCATTTTAGTTGAAAATTCTACTTCAATAGTTCTTGCTTATGAGTACATAATTTATTTGCTACTAATTTTCTTCACAAATTTGTCTCTCAAATTAGTATTTATGTTGTGAAATTATTATGTTTCTTATTTTAATTTGGACTTGGACAATTAGGAATTTAGATTATTGCCGTTGATTGATTGTTGTAGCTCCATTTTAAAAAATAAATTAGTACAGACACACTTTGGTTATACCTTAATGGGACGGTTGTTTTGGATAAACTAAAACCTAGATCACAAGTATTCTTGAAAGGGAAGATATGTACATTTAACAATATTTACTTGCTCTACACCTCTGATCTATTAAAAAATTTAGCAATGAAAATCAAATCCATTTGCCTGGACTCAGCTAACAATGTCCTTTCTCCTCATTATCTTATGTTATTCTCCATGAAGTCAGCCTATGTATTTGTAACCACTTGATACATTCTCTTTTTTCAAGTTCTCTCTTCTTTCTTTTTTTAAAGCTTTGCATTAATAAATGGGTGGGGATTGTTTGGAAAATGCTTAAGCTCCAGACCTAAAAACCACTTCATAAACATGTGGTGGTTGTAAAACAGAGTGAGTGAGGAAGGTCTAAAGATGAAATTTCATGGTCAAATTCAACTTTTTCTGCTTGGTTGACTATATCATAAATGTTCATATTGTCACTTCTTTCAGCTCTCAACTAGGTGGATGAAAAATGTTTATCTGTAGCCAAGTTCTTTTTTCTTTAAAATTTACAGAGATATGGAATCCTTTTCTTATAATAATGTTTTCTTTTCTATTATTTTTCTTACTTGGTTTCTTGTGGTTTAACAGGTCATAGGGAATTACTAGTTTCAATTCGTTTCAACGAACCTGAATGGCAATGGTCAGGATGCTTTTTACCAGATCATCTGGGTGATACTCAAGTGAAAATGCAGAATCATGTTTGTGGTGCAATTAGTATGATACGTGTAATTACCACATTATGTTGAATTAGCATGAGTTAGTGCCTTATTTTATTTTATTTTTTTAGCTCACATCTTTTAAGACCAGGCACATTGTTTTGTGAATATACTTGTTTAGTGTTTATCCTTTCAAGTATTTTATGCCGCCAATTTTGGTTTTTAATTCATGTGACATATTTCATTTTAATTAATCGTTTTTCTCTTCGCTTTGTTTTAAGAGTATTGCTCAAAATTTTCTTGAAAACACTCTAGGAAAGGAAGCCAAATTTTGATGTTACCTGTACGGGAAAGAAATAAACCTTCTCGTATAATCCTGTTGATCAAGTCTGCGCTCCTCCGTACGACGTCGCTTTACTCCCTGAAAACAAAAACTTGAGCTAGCTGGCAGGTGTGTGCCGGATACCTCTCCGATGCCTAAGTCAGCAAAATAGACAAATAGACAAAAAGCTCTGTATATTCAGGAATCAAAGTTGTGTTACCTCTCCATAGGTGATGTTATGAGCTTTTATGGGTTCTGTGTGGCACAATCCTAGAAGGACTCTTACTCCTCCATGTAGAGTCCTCATAAGAATCACATTCCTGAAAGATAATGCTTATCCTTCAACACCTCCCTCACTGCTTAAACCAAGTGAGATGGTTTTACCATGGTTGGATGTTACGACCGAGATAACATCACCAATGGCCGGTGGCAAGGAAACAAGGCCGGTGGCATCAAACCATGGCCGGTGAGGTGTGGGGATGGCCTACAAGCTACTTCCCACCCTCAGAAGCAAAACAACAAGTGTTTGGTGTAAAACCAGACACAAAATAGTCGAGTCGAGAGATCCTGAGGCAGGGCGCGTAGCCGAGACCTCCGGGAACTCAAGACGAACACGAACAAGGATGATCACCGAGTGTTCAAACGATGACGTCCAAGTCTTGAGGACGGTCAAAAATGGGGTGTCTATACCGAGCTAACGGCAGAGCTCTCTTGGACCGAGCTAACCCTCGCTAGGTCACTTCCATACCTGGACCGAGCTAACACCTGGACCACGGTCCACTTACTAAGCCCTTCTTACTATGGCCTATAGAACGGCTCATTACCCAGCTCGGCCCAATTTACTCATAAATTACCCTCTCAATTGCCCCTTAATTCCATCTGCGCAGCATGATAGAGATTACCTGTTACCAGCCGAGCTAAAACTTTAGCCTTCCAACCGAGCTAAATTCACACTAGGATTCTTTAATATGTCCGGTCAAAACGTCTCTTTGGTTACTATACTAAACCGCTTCCCATTCTATGGCCACGTGGCAAACTGTCATTGGCTCAGCGTAGCTGTCACACCGTCTTCGTACTTCGTGTATTTTGAACAGTCCTGCCTTTTTGTCATTCCCTCTACACAAAACACCCCTTCATTTTGAATCATTCATTCCACTATTCATCTCCTTCTCTCTCTCTCTGAACCTCCATTTTTCCCAAACATAGTGCCTACAAAGAGCTTTCTCTCGTGGCTTTGATCTTCATCAGCTCGTCTTCAAACTTGTAAGTAGCCCAATCTTATTTCCTTTTTGTTGATTTTGCATCTGTTTTGTAATACACAACACACGTATTTGTACGTTTTTCAAAACACACGCCACTTTCACTTTCAGTTTTCTGGGAAAACCTTGTGATAGAACAGCTGCATTCATGAATAGTGCGAAAAAACACTGTATTTGATCCAAAATCACATCCCAACCGAACTAGGATATTGTTTGTATTAGGTGCAAGCCTAGCCACACCCAACAACCGGACTAAAACTTCACGCCATACTTGTAGTTTCCATAGGTTAGATACCTTTAGCTTCATCTAACCGAGCAATCGAACCATACTAGGTTTGCGCAATACCGTACTTAGAAAGCCTTAACTTTCGACCGAGCTACAACTTGGGTCTAAACCAGCTTCCTTAGTTCAAACCGTACTAAGGATGCTGCCCCAAAGGCTCAATCGGGCTAAAAAGCCCCTTGCTCAAACCGAGCTAAAAACTAATAGCATCTTGTGTAGCCGAGCTAGGACTTCATTTATCTTGCCCTTGTTTTTTGTAGCACGGTCCAATGATTAGTACTTAACACCTTTCTTTTTTACTTTACAGACTTAGGTTGGCCTGGCACTCCTCTGATTGCTCAACCGAGCTACTAGGCGCCTTTTCTTGACCGAGCTAATCCTTCAGCTAATTTATTGATAATTTAACAATCAATGGGTAAATATAGGTTTTTGGTAAACACCCCAGGTGCTATGGCCGAGTTCCGAAGAGACTACCATATTCCTGATGATGTCTACTTCACCCTGGCCGAACTAGATACCATATCCTGGGGAAACCCTGGTTTTGTTCCCTTTACACTTCTTTCCATTGTAGAAACGGGACTAAGATTCCTTGTACAACCCCTTCTATGTGAATTTCTTAGACAAACAAACCTCTGCCCTACCCAACTTTCAACCAATTCTTACCGTATAATAAACGACATTGCCGAGCTAAACCGCCGGGCTGGCCTTAATCTCGGTCTAGCCGAGCTCTTCCACCAATACTCCATAGGATCGGCTGAGGATGGATGGGTTTACTATTTAAGAGTAAGACGCCGTCGTGAAAATATAATAAAAAATACCCCAGACAAAGACGTGAATGATGTTGATTTCTTCTAGGTATCTGGGAATTTTGAGCACCAACAAGCCCAGATCCCGAGCGACAGAATAAATTAGAACAAGGGTGAAGCCAGTAGGATTACCTCGGCTCAATTCCATGCTTTTCTTTACTTTGGTTTTCTGATCTTGAACCGCACTAACTGTATTCTCTTTCCTTCATGCAGATTTGAACTTCCTTAAGTCTCAGTACAGCTACCCAGACTTAAACGTACTTCGCGCCGCACTCCGATATCCAAACAGAGGCTGGGCCGAGCTACTGAATTTCGAACCGACCTACCGATATAGTAGCCGTAGGAAGACCAGAGTGACCGATTTTCTCCTTGAACCTTCGCCAGAGCCAGATCCATCTTTGCCTCAAATCAATTTGATCCCTCTAACCGCAGAGCAAGAGATGGCCAAGAAACGAGCTGTAAGGGCCCTCCAAACCGAAACAAACCAGCCCGAAGTACCACCAGTCGGTCAGACTCGGGAGACCGTGGTGGCCCTTCCATCTCATCAACCCTCATCATCTCATCCAAACAAGCGTGCTCGGACTTCTACAACTGAGCCACGCCTTGTTGATGAAGAAGATACCATCCCTCCACCAAGCCCTCCACCGAGCCCACAACCGGGGTGCTCTGACCGAGCTAGCTCTTCCAAGTGGGCTCCAAAGATCACTTTTCAGAACCGTGCCATACGGGATACTAATTCAGTGGTCGCTGAAAAGGACCACCTAATGGCATTCAATCTGGCCAAAAGCGTTTGCCTTCCACCTGACATGGAGCACCACGACCACCTAACTGAGCTAAAGGCCCTTCGCTCAACCACAAAATCCATGGTGCTGGTAAGTAGCTTCTTTGCTTGTCTTTCAAATTCTTACGACTTTTTGCTCGGTTGTACTTAAAAAGTGTCATTCCATCCTTTTGCAGGCCATACAAAAGAATCACATCGTTCACAAGCGAGTGTTGGAACTTTGAAAAACCACTAGGCAGGCCATGGCAGAAGCCAATGCCAAAAACACCAAGCTAGAAGAGTCAAAGAAGCAAATAGTCGAGCTACAAACTGAGATGGCACGTCTGAACGATCTTGTCAGCTCGGCCGAAGCAGATAAACGAAAGGCCGCGGCCGTGGTAAAAGACAAATACCTGCGCGAGCTGGCCAAGCTTGAGGGCAAAAAGGATGCCGAGATAAAAGAGTTGGAGAAGAAGCTGGAGGACACAGAAGACCGAGGTTATAAGGAAGGTGAAGCCACGTACATGCTGCAGTGTGAGGCTGCTAAGGATCTATTTTTCAAATGTGGGTGGAAAGCGACAGTGGAACAGCTCGGTCACGGTCCAGAGACCGAGGCTTTCCTAAACCCTCCATCGTATTTCATACCGAGCCATATGGCGGAGTATGCAGCCACCATTCAACAAAAATTCCTTGAAGCTAAGGACGATGAAGAAGAAACCGTGCCTAATAATGCCCCGGTCGTCGATGATTCTGCCATCCAACCAGTTCGGGTGGAGCCACCTGTTGAAGACCTGACAAACGAGCTGCCAACTGAAACCGGGCTCTGAGTTGAATTGGATGCAGATCTTGATGACCTGTTTACTTGACTTTGTACTTTCTTCTTTGTTTTGCTATTTTGGAAAGAAGTTGTAACTGGGCGGAGGCCCCTCTTTTTGTACTTGATTTGAATCTTCAATAAAATCTTCTTTTGTTGGAACTGTTGTTTTGGTTTACTTTTATGCTTGCCTTTACTTTTCAAAAGTATTCTGAATGTAGTATAACATTTTCCAACCGAGGTAAATATCTCGGTTTTAGCTTTGCAATCTAACTGGCCATACCTGCCAACCTTTTTAGCCTTGATCCTTATCTCGGCTAAAGAACAATAAGCGTTGGTTTTTCCAGCCAACTACTCTTCAGCCTAGTTCCTTACTCCGGCTGAATAGTACTAAGTGTTGGTTTTTCTTGCGAACCTCTTCAGCCTAGATCCTTACTTCGGCTGAGGAGTACTAAGTGTTGGTTTTTCCAGCCAACCTCTTCAGCCTAGATCCTTATCTCGGCTGAAGAACAATAAGTGTTGATTTTTCTAGCCAACCACTCTTCAGCCTAGATCCTTACTTCGACTGAAGAGTACTAAGTGTTGGTTTTTCCAGCCAACCTCTAAGTTGGTTTTTCCTGCCAACCTAGAGTAAAGTGTTTGGTTATTCCGACCAAACGTCCTGCAGCTTGGATCCTTATCATGGGCTTAGGGGGGGTGTTGGTTTTTCCAGCCAACCTAGAGTAAAGTGTTTGGTTATTTCGACCAAACGTCCTGCAGCCTGGATCCTTATCCTGGGCTTAGGAGGGGTGTTGGTTTTTCCAGCCAACCTCTAAGTTGGTTTTTCCTGCTAATCTAGAGTAAAGTGTTTGGTTATTCTGACCAAATGTCCTGCAGCCTGGATCCTTGTCCTGGGCTTAGGAGCGGTGTTGGTTTTTCCAGCCAACCTAGAGTAAAGTGTTTGGTTATTCTGACCAAACGTCCTGCAGCCTGGATCCTTATCCTGGGCTTAGGAGGGGTGTTGGTTTTTCCAGCCAACCTCTAAGTTGGTTTTTCCTGCTAACCTAAAGTAAAGTGTTTGGTTATTCCGGCCAAACGTCCTGCAGCCTGGATCCTTATCCTGGGCTTAGGAGGGGTGTTGGTTATTCCGGCCAACTATGCTTTCAATGCCCCTAGCTCACTAAAACAATCTTTTACAGAAGGAAACAATCTATGCTGAAAAAAAACTACTTATTTTATTGAGAAAAGAAAACTACAACTGAGTTTAAAGAAAAGCTAAAAATAAAATAGTTTGAGATTGGCAGTGTTCCATGGCCTGGGAATGGCTTTGTTGTCTTCATCTTCCAAGTGGTATGCCCCTCTTCCTGCTAAACCAACCACCTTGTAGGGTCCTTCCCAGTTGGGCCCTAACTTTCCGTCATCGGGTACCAGGGTGTTTCCCATTACTTTGCGCAGTACCCAATCTCCAACCTTGAATTGCCTTGGATGTACTGTCTTGTTGTATTTTCTGGATAACTCTTGCTGGTACGAGGCAATGTGAACCAGTGCTCTTTCTCTTCTTTCTTTCGGAAGGTCGAGTTCCAAGGCTATGGCTTGCCCATTTAAGTCTGGATTTTTCGCTTCTAATTGTGGGGAGGCCGATTTCTAGTGGGATTACTACCTCAATGCCGTAGGCTAAAAAGAATGGCGTTTCTCCAGTTGATCATCGAGGTGTGGTACGGTAAGCCCATAAAACATGAGGAAGTTCCTCTGCCCACTTGCCTTTTGCTTTTTCTAACATTTTCTTCAATCCATCCAGGATGACCTTGTTTGATGCTTCCACCTGGCCATTTGCGTGGGGATATGCCGGTGTAGAGTTGTAGAATTCTATCTTATATTCCTCACAGAAGCCTCTAAAAATTTTGCCGTCGAACTAAGTGCCATTGTCTGATATTAGAGCCTTGGGTATACCGAACCGTGTGATGATATTCTGCCAGACAAACTTCTTCACATCTTTCTCTTTTATTGATGCTAGTGCTTCTGCCTCCACCCACTTTGTGAAGTATTCTGTTGCTGCAAGGAAGAACTTTCTGTTACTGGGTGCCGTTGAAAGTGGTCCTACTATGTCCAAGCCCCATATTGTAAAGGGCCATGGGCTTGTCAATGGTAGGAGTTCTCTGGTTGGCTGATGTATTTGGTGGGCGAACTTCTGACATTTCTCGTACTTCTTGACATACTTCTCTGAATCCGCTTGCATGTATGGCCATCAATATCCTTGCGAAATGGCTCTGTAAGCTAACAATCTTCCTTCTTGATGGCTTCCGTATACGCCTTCGTGAATTTCGAACAGAAATGCTTCGACCTTGCTGGGATGGACACACTTCAGGTAAGGTCCTGTGAAGGATTTCTTGTACAAGGCCATTATTGGGGAGAGCCAAAATCGCTACGACTTTGTTCTTATTTTGTTGGCCTCTTTCTTCTCTTCCGGTAGGATGCCGTTTTTTAAGAAAATTATAATGGGATCCATCCATGAAGGGCCTAGTTCGGCGCAACATACCTCTTCTACTTCGGGTTCTTCAATGCTTGGTCTTGGTAGGTAGTCAATCAGTAACGGATGAGGGATGCCATCGAAGCAAAGCTTGCTAGTTCGTCCGCTCTACTGTTTTCTTCCCTCCCGATCTGCTCTATCCGTACTACTTCAAATTTCTTGATCTTTTTTCTGACTAACTCTTGGTACTTAGCCATCTTGTCATCTTTTGCCTCGTAGTCTCCTGAAATTTGGTTTACCACCAGCTGTGAGTCACTGTAGACCATTACCTCGGTTGCCTTCATGTAGAATGTTGATTTCAGTCCTGCTAAAAGTGCTTCATACTCCGCCTCGTTGTTTGATGCTGGGAAGCCGAGGTTGACTGCTTGCTCCACCACAAGGCCATCTGGTGAGATGAGGACTATGCCTAGTCCTGCACCGTGCCTGTTGGACGCTCCATCCACGAAGAGCTTCCACATCTCTCCAACGAACAGTTTCCAACAAGTGGAGGGATCAGGTGATGCCTTGGGATCAAGAGTGTTGCTGGTGTTTTCTTCAAAGTCCATGCTTGCATACCAAGTCTTCATTTGTTGACGAGTCTTTGCTTGGTGTAGCATGGTTTGCTTCTTCCTCCCTTACTTTACTCTGGTCTGCCTCAGGGTCTGATTGGGTATCCTGTACCAGGGGTTGCGCTATTTCGGCGTCAACTTCCAACCCTAGTTCGGTTGTATCAGTCAGGTCGACTGAGCAGATATAATGACTTCCTGGGGTGAATTCTGCGACAAAGTCTGCCAAGGCTTGGGCTTTTATCGCGGTTCTGGGTTGGAACTTGATGTCAAACTGTCCCAACTCCATTGCCGACTTTAAGATTCTCCTAGAAAAGTTCGCCCTCTCAAACAAAGCTTTTAATGGAAAAATTGTGAGGACGATTATTGTGTGGGCGTGGAAGTAATGCGACAATTTCCTTGATGCCATCATCAAGGCTAAGGCCAATTTTTCCAATGGTAAGTACCTGGTTTCCGCGCCCAGCAATGTCTTGCTGACATAAAAGATGGGCATATGTTGGATTCCTTTCGCTCGGACCAACACTGCGCTAATTGCGTGCTGCGAAATTGCCAGGTTCAAAAATAGTTCTTCTCTAGGTATTGGGGACACTAGCAGTGGTGGAGAAGACATGTATTCTTTTAAACTTTCTAGGGCGCGGTCACATTCTTCATCCCACTCAAATTTGGCCTTTAATGCTTGAACAAATGGTCGACATCTGTCTGACGACCGACTGATGAACCGGTTGAGCGCGGCTGCCATACCGGTGAGATGTTGTACTTCTTTTACTGAGT